GGGTTTCCCAAATTTGCTACGTGCTTGCCTCTAACAGTTTCTCTTTATGTTTCCTAGATGCAAAAAGCTTGGCTGAGATGCTCATGAGGTAACATCTTCATTAAGCCGTCATCATTTACCTCAGCATGCACACAGACGCAATTACAGATCTTTTTACTTCCACTCATTTTTCATCTGCTCTGTGCTTCTCAGTAAAAACACGCGTCCAGCAGAGCCGATTAACAAACAGCAGCAGACGCTCCGCATGCACATCGATATCCCCAGAGCCCAGCTTCTCATCGAGGAGAGAGACACCATGGAGACTGTTGGTAAGCACGCAGCGAGCACTGGTGACACAATAATGCACGATGGCGCGCAGGCTAAGTTTGTTTCTGCTGCTGTCTCAAAGATGACAGGTCCACTGTGCTACTGACCGACAACGACTTCGGGGAGACACAGAAGCAGAAGTCGTCCACAGTCACCCACACTGTCCACTACCAATCAATCTCCCAGGCCACTGGTCCACTGGTAGACGTGTCTGATGCCAGACCAGGAACTAGTAAGTCCAGTACGGACTCTTTTTTTAACTTCATAATACATTAAAATGTTTACGTGTCCTTTTATTTTCCCAGAACTCTCTCCTTTCACGAACCTTCCCTCTGTCACTTTGCCTTTTGTTTTGGAAGTTATGAGGATTTTTTGAAAAACATGCACACATAAACTAGTTCTGGCTGTCAGCTCAACAGACTGCTGCCACACTCATACGCCACATTATGCTGCTTCATAGTTACAGTGCTGTTGCCATGCCTGCTGTTCTGGAGTCAATAAGGTGTTTCCTTGTGGAGCGGTTTCACTACAGACTCCACAAATAGACTTCAGCTGGTTTATTATCAGGTATAAATAGCTGCAGGATGGCTGCACAAACTGTTATTTGCAGGACAGATTTTAAAGTCAGCGCCATCATCCCTCGGTTGTTCTTTAGCCTTTTTATTTGAACCCCACTGTGGAATTACTGCCACAGAAGTCACAGTGTGTTGAACTCAATGCCACAAGCACAAAAAGTTGGACGAAGTTTTGTTGCCATTGGATGACCTCCTTCAGGTTCGAGGC